CTTTTATACTACTTTCTGTTGCATTTGTTTGGTCTGTGCACAACTCCAGATCTTTGCCTGGGAAGTCATAAACACTACTGCCCATATTTCCGACTAGCAATATCAATCATGTATCTGGATAACTGGCACCTTCCCGCTACCTCACGATATCAATTTATCCAGACAACATTCACAAAATAGACTAAACAAATCAGCAGTGATGTTGAGTAAATTTACCTGAATAATTGCCCTCCCACTTCTCTCGTCAATATTGGCTATAAACTCGGGTGAAACACACAGGACATCTATAGACAAGACATGAGATTCCATTTTCATTACATTCAAGGGAAAGTGCCACAAGATAACTGGAAAATGTTATTCTTTATTTTATATAAAAATAATTGCCTTGCACAATACTTCATACCAGCACTAAATGTAGACCTTGAATTGTGGGATTGCAAACTGTACCTACAAAAATGTGCCATGAAATTTAATTTTCTACATTAATATCATTTTTGCTCAATAAAGGTCTGAGTGCCCATGGAGACACAATCACAGTTATTAGTGAGACACACATGAAACAAAAGATACTTATTAAACAAGAATCTGGGTCGTTCCTCCTCGTCCCAACTGTTGTTGAAGCGCCCCGAATAAGGAATAATTACAGTCACGGTACATCCATGTCACCTAATGGCGCCATCTCTGCTGAATTAAGCACGTAAGTATACATTACAAATTTTGAAGATGTTTATCTTTATTTTCTTTTGTTTTACCAATCACATATAGTACTATTTATTAAAGTCAGGCTCCGGAGGAAAAAAAATTTTTGATATGTTGTAGAACTGATTTTTCTAACACAGAAAAAAGTTGTTGAAAAATTGGGGAACGGTGAATGAGATACAGATTTTTTAATATTTAAAAACTGGGGGAAAAAGGGGCGTAACTGCCCATTTTTACACCTTATTCCCCCAGTTTTTAAATATTCAAAAATCTGTATCTCATTCACCGTTCCCCAGTTTTTCGTCAAACAACTTTTTTCTGTCTTAGAAAAATCAGTTCTACAACATATCAAAAAATTTTGTTCCTCCGGAGCCTGACTTTAATGCAACATTACAAGGTACTACTTTGTGTTGGTCAGTGGTAAGAGTTTTTATTTTATATGGTCACTTTGAATGCATTATTAGACAAGACATTCATTCAATTCATTTTGTGATAATGGGCACATGGTAGAACATGAACAATTTGGAATTATACTTGTTGGGTACTCTGAGTAATAGCAAAGATCACTATACCTCAGAAAATATTAATTAGGTAAACAACATTTCATTGGCCAATTCCACCTGGTAAATTAGTACTTTTTACTACTTCTCTGCATGTACCAAATTTATGAAACTACAGCACTCCTTTACAATACATGCTACCTGAATGTAATTTTAAGCTTGGAATGGCTACTGTGCAAGGACACATCGCTACTCTTTTTGAAGCCAAAATAAAATTATGTGATTGACAGTAAAGATGCTCATCAAATGAAAAAAAGTGATTGGCAAAGTTGTAGAAGTTTTATCTACCTATATATGTTTCAATAATGTGTTTCATAAGTACATGTGCTAGGAAAAATCAATATTTAATATACATTGTTATCTAATTAATATTTATAAGGTATAGTAAAACTTTCTTATTATGTATCTGGAATGTGGAATAGGTTTCTAGGTATATGGTAAACTATGAAAAATGCATTCAACATATTATTTGCATGCAAATTAATTTCTGAGTACTCCTCTAAAAGAAATATGTACAGACATTATGAGCATCTTCAAGATTATGAGCGCCAATAAAATTGAGATACGATAGGATGGATAAAATCCTATTGAGTTTTAAGTGATGCAAGCCTTCCTCAACTGATATTTGGAACAGTAGTGCTTTTATTGTGCACTGGCTGACTTACATATATTAATTTTTTAAAAGGCACTGTACAAATAGTTTATTTTTGTTATATATACCATAGAGAAAATTCTATTTTCTCTATGTATATACTTAACATTCATTCCTGATGATGACATAATTAATGTCGAAATATTGAATCCCAACACGATGGCGTGTATTTCAATACTTGGAGTATGTATTATACTTTCTTATCTGAGATTAATCAGTGGACCTTTCGGTATACTTAACAGTTACCTTGCGATTAACTAATACTATAACATTGCTTTGAAGTGGAGATAGATGAAAGATGAAAGAGTTATCTTCGTTTACATAGGTCTCTTTGACCTACTTCTGAATCATGGAGATGAATAAATTGTAATTAAATTTGTTAATCTCAACCCAATGGCAGTATGGTCTGCCGCATACATACAGGTACAAATTTATTTAATTAAAGTTCCAAATATAAACTTACAAAGGCATCACTTTCTTCATAGTTTGTACCATATTATTATTATTTTATATTTTTTCCTTCGTTTTTATTTTAATAAACCACATTATTGCTTTCAGTGAATTTTATTTATTTTTTTTCTATATGTTGTGTTTCCCTGGACATATTTTTTAGAGAGTATTTACCCAGGCGTATATATCTGATTGTTTTCTTTATGTTTTTATTACCAGACATATTCAACGAACCCATAAACGCCACACGATTGATAGTTTGGTATTGAACTGGGAACTTGACCCTGCGATAATAAACGGCCACCTTCTAAACCCATCAACAGGTAATAGATATTATAACAAATATACGTATACTGTACATATTTATGTGCTTTTATATTTTTTAGTATTGATGGTTTATAATACGTGGAAGTAGCCTTTAAGTTTATAGATATTGTTTGATTGACAGTCTAAAATTTCTTTTAAATATTTATAATTTTTTTTCATTGATTGGTAACTTTTTTTTTCAAAATTAAGAAACTTTAAATTAGAATCCTTTTCAAAGCCAGAAACAGCTGATTTGAGAGTTCAATTTAAATCATCTAGGTGAAGTATCCAAGAATTCTGGCCAGTCTGTCTTGGAATGAGCCAATGCTGTGTGGCATTCCATTGGTCATCAAACTCCTCCAGAATTAAAAAATCGAAATTTCTATTCTATTCAAAACTGTAACATTCATTTTCATCTTTTTTCTTAAAGCTGATATTGCCGATAGGTTGGACTTCCTAGAGTTCTTCCGCCAGTCAATTCTAAATCATGAAGAGATTAAACTACCAGCTCTACGGGATCTAGATAAAATTGATAAAGACAAATATAAATACTTCCGTCAACTACATCTGTTCTACTACAAGTTAAAATTAACCTGTGCAAGCAAACAGCCTCATCGTCTTGGGGAGGAAGAGCATTATCAACAAACTATCAAAAAATTAGTAAGTTATCTACTACATTTTGAAATTACCTGAAGATATATAGTGAAACGTTATTATGTGAGATGTTATGTTATTAAGTGAGATGTTATTTTTTTTTTTTTTTGTATATCTTGACGAATCAGGCCTGATGTTACCATCAATACAGATAAGAGGCGGCCACAATATTTATATTCATATTCATATTCATATTTATATTTATTGAATTTCATAAGCCATGAAATGCTCAAACCTAGCGCTGAAACATAGCCAGAGCCACTTGACAATCCGTCAGTAGTCCAAGCCTGTGGTAACTAAGCATGTATTGATCATGACATCTGAATATTAAGTCCTTATTATTTATTATTGATTTAGATAGTATTTGGGCAATTTCATAATGCAGAGTGATTTTTTTGTAATTTTTCATACTTATCAAATCCCATCAAGTTTGTTATCAAACTAAAGCTCATTTTATATAGAATTAAGATCTAAAATCAATATTTTGGATTATGATTAACTGAGATGTATTCAATTTTTAAATCACTTTCATAAATCAGAGGGTTTTAGTAAAATGTGAAGTGGTAAAAATAGAGGGTATTTTTTTTTGTCTTTCCGCTACCATACATATTTTTTGATATTATATCAAAATTGTGATAGGTTTTTAAAAAAAACTAGGGTAGAAATTATAGATGGATTCCATAGTTATGTAAATATGATAATTATTCCAAGAATTAGAATGGAGTGTAAATATGACATTAGATTAAAGTTAAAAAGTTCAGCAAAATAGTGATTCCGCTACCATGAAATTGCCCATTTATAGATTATTATTGCATTTTTAAACATTTAACCTTTACGTTGTATTTTATTCACATTGTACAAACTTGCTTCTCCTTCAGGAGGTTTATGGTAATAAATGAAATTATGTACTCAGTTTGCAATGCTAAGAGCAGTTATTACTCTGCTTTAAATTTAACATAATTGTCTGACAATAACAATGAACTAGCAGCTTTACCTCAGATAACCGTGGAGATCTTTTAGCACATTCATCGCTGGTTAAAATTCATTTTTGCTGGGTGCAAATGCAAATAAAATGCAAATTAACAACATATTGATGGCTACAAGACTAGTTACTTATTATTATTGTATTACACCAAATATTCTGACCCAACTCACTTCTCTGTATCACAATGAAACTGCTGTTTATGCAGCAGGTTTCGTACTGTAACGTTTAGATGTTATGTGAATAGTTTGAAAGCTTGAACTCTAGTCCATTTTTTTCCCGCATATGGTAGACACTTCCTTATTAATCAAGTGGTATTTAATCTTCAGTCCTGTTAGTCATAATAAATCAATCATTCAATCAATGATCAATTAACCTAATTAATTTTTTTCACGTGGTACTTCCTGAAATATTGAGATTTCTCCTGAATTATTCAAAATGTCAAAAATAGTAAATGCATAAGAGGTCCTGGTAGGAGTATTTAATTAATCAACTTTACTTTGGAAACAACTCCATATATTCCTAAATACAATGGAGAGGCCAATCTAATTGACCAAATAAAAAAGTATTAAAATTTAACATGATTATTGCAATTTGTCAGCGTTGAAAAAATGAGTATAACCGGTGGTCGAAGTCAGAGATATTTTTAAAAAAGAAAAAAAAATCTCCTTTCAGACAACCTTCTTTCTACTTAGTCTTTTGAGTTATATATAGTTTACATATAACATTTAGTGCTGTAGGCGTTTGATAAAGATGTACACAAATGCAAAGGAACAGTACTAGATGGCCTTTCTGCTTGTTTTATAGCACATCAGTGGTCGATGGACTCCCATAATATTTTCAAAATGTATAAAACTAAATGAAGTCAAAGCTGTGTGTTATGTTGATCTCTTGTAACTGCAATACCTATGAAATGTTCTGAAAGTATTATTAAAGAAAAGCTATTACCATAAGTCAAGTATGCACGATGGACCCACATCAATTTGCCTATCAAAACAAGAAGGTTAATGATGCTTTGATTAGTGCAGGAGTGCAATGCATCATGTTCATTGTCATTCATACTTGCCACTTTCATAAGTTCGATCACACAAAGTT